AGCGGTGAGCATGTAATGGTGATGTTTCTTACGAGCTTTGCTATAGAAAAACAAAATTTAGTGATGTGATCGGGAATTTGTAAAACCCGAAAACTATACTAAAAAAAACCAAAGGAAACTTGAAATTGAAGCACGAAACTTATAATTCTAACTAGAAAATTTCAAGATTACTAATTAATTGGGTTTGAATTGAGGAGTTTGGATATATGAACAAATGGTGATTTTGGGTCAGAAAAAAACATGTTTTAATTTGTAATGAAATCAGTGTGTATTGTTTCAATGAAGAGTCAATGTCTGCAAAAGAATCTTTAGCTGTCAAAACAATGCTCTTCCAAAGGGGTTTTTAGGGCAGAAAATGGACAGTGTCAGATTCAAAATTTATAATTAAAATAAAATATGAAAATTATTGGGAAGTAATATAATTTATTAAATATTTTAATTGTAGTCAAATAGGAATGTGTAGTATTATTAATTTATTATTCCGTTTTCCATTGATTTTAAAATAATGAATTCAGCTGATATTTAATTTCATTATCAAAATTTTATTCTTTTTTTTAAACATAATAAATATATATCAATTATCAATTAATACAATTTTATATTGGCAAATTTTAACTACTTATGAGTCCGTTTTCCATTGATTTTAAAAATAATTTAATGAGTACTTTAATTTATTGGAATCTTACTCAAATTTCGATGATGGTTTAATCACACTACATTTAATTTACATCAAATCAATATTTACGAATTATTTTGAAATGGTTAATTAAAATAACTTTAAGAGATTTAATATTATCAAAATAAAATTTAAATGATTTTAGAATCTCCAAACCTATTGCATCCGTGATTCTCAAATGATCGTGGAATAGAAAAGTGAGATAAAATTCAATATAAATTGTACCTGAATTTATTCAATACCATCTCTTTTCTTCCATTAATTTGAATTAGTCAATAAATCAAAATTACAGAGAGAAAAAGAGAGAATGAAAAATAACAATAAGAATGTATGTGAATGAGACAAAGTATGCTGGAATGGAGACAAAGTATGCTGGAATGACTAGTATTTGTTTGTGGAGATTGTGGAGATAGTCTTGTGCTCTTATAAAGAGATATAAAACGAGAGAAGAGGTAATGTGGCCATGGGGATGCAAAGGGTCATCAATGCCAAACTCGAATTTGAATTTGAATCTTGAGCATGAGTCATTACACTCACTCACCCATTCACTCTTAAGAAGTAAAGGCATAAGTAGCTTGACGATAATGAGCCATCCGGCGCCAAATCCGAAATTTGAATCTTGAGCATGAGTCATCACTCTCTCGCCCATACATGTTCAAACTTTATACACAATCTACCTCTGAAATCCTATATTTTAGTAATCTAATCCAAGCGAAGAATAGGCAATTTCACACCTATGTTTTGTTTTTTTCTTCTTTTGACACGGATGCTATTTGAATGTTCATGAGTTAAATTCGTGCGTTTTGAAATTGAAAGAGATAAAGATAAATATGTGTGTAACCCAGAGAGTAGAGAAAGAGGCATATGGGCAGTTTGGAATGAAAGGAAAGATATGAGAAAAATAGAGAGAGAGAGAGAGAGAATAATAATGGAAATTGTGGCATGCAGTAGTAGTAAAAAGTATGCAGTAGTAAAGCATGCAGTAGTAAAAAGTAGAGAGGGAGAGGGAGAAATTGTGGCATTGCCTTTCCATGAATGTAGAAAATGGCAAACCATCAAAAGGAAAGCAAACTAAACTCGTATGTTCAAAATGGCTAACCAAATTCAAAGCCTCTCTGTATAGTTTAGAGCTTTGGATGTGGGAATCCTGCACTGTCAGACATCTCTTTTGCATATATATATATATATATATATATAGGACCCTCTCTTACTCCCTTATCCCTCTATTAAGTGTTTTTTTTTTTTTTTAACCCAAAATATTTCAGTCATTTTTTAGTTTTTATATTATTTTTGTCCTTAATCTAAAATCTTTTAGAAATTAAAAAAAAAAAATGAAAAAGTAGGACCAAAGTATAATAATGTTAAAAATAATAGTGGGATCATAATGATATTTTAACCTAATCGTAATAATAATAATAATACAAATTTGTTGTTACTCGAAACCCTCGCAGAAAAACAAGCCCATTCATGCACCCACCCTGCTGCCAACATCTTTTACCATGCCAAGTTTATATATAGTTTGTTTGCCTCAGCCTCAGACCATCATGTGCCTCTACACTATCTCTCCAACCCCACAATACCCAACACCCAACACCTACCGCACATCCACCCCCTTTCACTTGTACTTATCTATATGCCTTTTTCTTTCTTTCTTCTTCTTCTTTCCCTTTTTTTTTTTTTTTTTTTTCTTTGCTCACCTTTGAGTTTTTCCCTTCAACTATCAGCATATTAACTAATTTTAATGGTAACAATATATTATTAAGAACTATTTTAGTCTCTAAAAATTAACCCATAGAATATTAGCACAAATAATCAAAATGTAAGCTTAGTAAAAATTCAAAAATAAAAGTGTAAAATAAAAAAGAAACCAAACTCAAATTCCAAAGATAAAAGTATAACATTTTGTACATTTATATAGATCAAATTGAAACTAGACACAGAAGTAGAAAAAATGTAGTGCTTTAAAAAATATATAAACTAATTGAAAATTATCTCCAAACTCAAAATTGAGCACTAAAAATGGTATGAAAATGTTAAACTCTAGATCCATTATTATTTTTCTTTGAGAATATAATGTTCTATTTTACAACAAATAAGGGTGGAAGGATAAGTATGTTTTTTTTAATTAACCTCCAAAGTGACTGTTTCGCTTGATTTTTCTATATTTTCTTGTTACAGAATCTCCTGGACTCCACACGACCCAAAATTATCCCGGGCCATATGATTCAATCGGGCCCAATGCTAATAAAAATATATATAAAAATGAAATTTTAAAATGATGCAAAAGTAATTCAATTATTTATAAGATTTATGTGGATCTTCAATAATGTTGGATTCTTTTTAAAGTTTTCATTTCTCTCCTCATAATTGCACTTAAAAAAAAAAAAAAAAAAAAAAAAAAAANATTTTACGAGCTGAGGTCTATAGAGACAAGTTTGTGTGCCGATCGATAAATCTTAAATCTTCATAAGTTGGGGAGGATCTAAGCTCCTTGCAGTGATCGTTTTTGGTAAAAAGCTATTTTGTAGGACAAGTGCCCTTAAAAAAAAAAAAAAAAAAAAAAGGAAAAATAGTATATACTAATGGCAAAGAATATACATGGAGTTATATAACTTGTGTACCATGTAATTAAAACATAAAAGCTGCAACATTTTTTAAAGAATGAAGAATGAAACTAATACGAAAAATTGTTCTAAAAATTGAATAAATTTAAATAAAGCATTAATAAAACAAAATTAGTAATCTAACATTGAAAATAAATAAGAAAATGATGATAGTGAGGAGTGAGGTGCAGAAAAATAGAGAACCAAAATTTGCAATATGGAAAAATAATAATATAATTTAAATAAATCAAATTGAAAAGGGAGATAGGTCCGGAAAATAAAATTTTGAAATATTGTTTTGAGCTTAGTTTCAACTTTAAACTTGATCTCTAAAGAATTCAATCAATCGTGCCGAAACCGTTTCAAATTTGAATTTAGTTTATTTGCCAGTCAACAATTTTGTATTTAATACATCATTTCCATTAATATTTTTGTTCTGATCATCATCAAAATCAAACTAAAACCTAATCAGGCTTGTTCTTTTCCGATTCTTAATTTAAGAAGACAAAAACAAATGATTTTAAAAGCCAAACCTCATCAATTTCTGAAGAACAAATTCAAAATTATGCATCTCGCGCCGCTTCATTCCAATAGCCACCGCGTCGACAGAAGTAACAAACAAATTTCTACAGCGCAATCCTCCACAGCATTTCCGGATCAAAATTAGAGATTACATTAGCACAATAAATGATGAAGAGAAGATAACAGAAATGGAGTAAGAGATTCACCGAATTACGACGAAGCGTGGAAGATCGCGAACCTACCTCCATCCTATAAACTCCAAAAACTACCTCTCCATCAACGTTGCATCAAACTAGAAGACCGCGAAGCAATCGCCACCAAGAATTTCGAGATCGTTCACGAAATCAAACGCAAATCTCCATTTGAATGTAAGATTCCGTCAAACTCTGAAGCGCTCTTCCTGCTTGTAAATTAGTTTTGATTCTCGATATTTTCCGGAGCGCGATTCGTTTCGAACTCCAATTTCATATACCTAGAATTCACGATATCTCGCCTTCATTTCCGGTAGCGATTGAGAGAGAGAGAGAGATGAGTGTAGTTCGAAATCAATGGCTAAGAGAGTGGAATCAAAATGGAGAGGAAAAAAAAAAGAGGAAGTCGATTAGGAATCGTAACTCGCAAGAGCAATGGAAAGCATCATAGTGGTTCGCGCCAAATCGGAAGGGTGTTAAAAGGAAGACAAAATCTCCAAAATTAGTATTTGAGTCTTTTATTTATTATTAATTGATTTATTTTAAAAATATTATTCATAAATTCACTAGCAATTTGAAGGATTCCATTTAAAAAAGGAAATTTATCTCTTATAATAAATATTTGTGGCTGGGAATTTGCCACGTGGCAGATATATGTCTTTTTAACTTACTTTCTAATACATTTTTTATCCACGTATATAATATGTGTGTCAAATCATTAATACGCTTTTTTTTTTTTTTTTTAAGTCGTGTCAAATTATTCCTTTGAAAAGCATTGCTTTTCTTAGACCATAGAATAAAATATTACATTTAAAATATAAAAATACAATAATATAATTTAAAATTATAAAATAACTTACACAAATATACCATAACATCAAATTGATAGGGCTCTCGTTCCAGGTTTTAGGGTTTGTGTACCACAAAGACATCAAATTTCATAATTTATTGACTTTCCGGTTAAAAAAATGGAAGAAAAATAAACATATTAGGGAAGGAAACAAAAGAAGGGATTGGATCAAACGATAACCTCATACAATGATTTTGGAGTCGGTAGAGTACCTCTTCAACCGAAGAATGTCCGTATCAAATTCAGTTGGTCAATCAGAGAGCACGTCCCGCCCTTTTCCATACCACAATAAGTACCGCCATTTCTATTCCCTCGACTCTTGTGCCGCTCTTCCACTCCCGGGTCCACTCTCGAGGTTTGATTGTCTAATGCAGTCGTTTCAGCTTCACTCTCCTTTGTTTGGTTCGTTTTTGTTCGAATCTGATACGGAATCTTTAGAGTTTGCATCTCTGTTTCTTTCTACCCTGTTTTTCTGCCTATTTTGATGCTTGTTTTAGTCGTAAATGGTGCTGTTCATGTCGAGGACTGTGAAGGATTTTGAATTTTGTCTCTGCAACGTGTGAAATCGAATTTAGGAGATTCGATTGAACGTTCTGAACTGAATGTTGCTAATAACTGTATTGGTTTAGAGCTGGAAATTCCAAATGAACTAGAAGAATCGGGTTTTGTTTACAGATCTTGTCTGATTTTGATTGAAATCTCCAACTATTTGATTAACTTGTAGATCGCCTGATTGATCATTTATTATTATTATTGTTATTTTAATGTTTTGGCTGTGTATCTTTTTTTATGCAGAGTTGGAAGGGAGGTGGAAACCATAGATGGAATTATGACCATCCATTAACACGTTCATAAGAGAAAAAAAAAAACGAAAAAAACAAAAATGATTACGGGTTTACGTTCATTGTCATCCGAGCTCAAATTTCGGGATGGCGGTATGGTGTATACAAGCTTGAGTTCACTCACATCAAATGATTTTGTAAGAATTTATTATCTCGAACAAAAAAGGCATTGTAAAGCATTAAGGAAAAATGCTGGAATGTTGTCTTTATCTTGTCCGACAACTTCTAAGCTCATGGAAGGATCGTTCATGAGGAAGAAACAGCTACATAAGCCTCCTTTGAAGCTTGAGTTTGTGAGAACGTTGTTGATCGACAACTATGATAGTTACACATACAATATTTACCAAGATTTGTCTGTCATCAATGGATGTAGGTCTTCTCTATCTCCGTTTCTGCTTATGTTTATATTTTGCATATCATCCGAGATCACTCATGATCGTTGGTTGTGGTTCATGCATATCCATTATGCTTTAGAGTCTCTTCTTTATAAAGTTTTTGCTTTTCACTTTTCTTTATTAGAATGAGCTATTTCTTCATTTTCCTTGATTTCGTGTTTCTATACTTGTTCATGTTTGTTAGTATATACTTCTCAGCCTGTTTTGACTTAAGGTGGTCTTCCAAGTTATGTTCAATTTTAAAATAGAAGATCAAGATATCAATAAATCCCCAGGTCATGAACCATTTGAAAAATTAACACGAAGTTTCTCCAAGCATGAGCAACACTCATAGCTCTCTGGCTGTCCAGGTTTTGGCAGATCATCTCTACGCCTAATGAAGAACTGTGGAGGTTCACAGTTAAGAGCTTTTATTTTTGTTATTATCTTTTTGACACTCTTATGAACAATAAATTACTTTGGACTAGGCTTATAACTTATTAGTTTAGTCCACAAAACATGGCAACTTAGACAAATCTTTTTTTGAAAATGATTAAATGAGTTTTTATAGTTTATCAATCTATTAATTCATCTTGAGGGTTAAAAATGCAGTATCTGGCACAATTTCCATTTCAGCACGTACATTGTTCATAGCTTTGTCTGTTCTTGTATGAACTAGGGTGTATAGTAATTGATGCTAATGATAGAGTATGAAACTGCTCTTGCGCCTCTCTTATACTTCTTTGGTTTTGTGCTAGTGCCTCCTGTGGTCATACGAAATGATGAATGGACATGGGAAGATTTATGTCATTACTTGTATGAAGAGAAGGCATTTGATAATATTGTTATATCACCTGGGCCCGGTTCTCCAACATGTGCCAATAATATAGGTGAGAGATTACAGATAATGATATAAATGTGGCATTTTTACCCTTCTATAGTCTATTTCATTCAAAGGATAATTCTGAAATGTTGACTGGAATAATATGGCCATCACTCTGTTACTGAAATTGTTACCTATCATGGTGTTTGCATTAACATCACAGTCTTGGTCAATTACTTTTTTTGTTCTGAGCTTTAACTTATTTCTTGAAAAAAAAACAAAAACAAAATGTAGTTATTTAATCTTTCAGGAATATGCCTACGTCTACTCCATGAGTGCGAGGATATCCCCATTTTAGGTGTTTGCCTCGGGCACCAGGTATTTCCTTTCCTTCTCAGGGGCAGTTTGCACTTCTTTTTTAAATGACGTTCTTTATACATATGATGGCTTTTCATTTTACAGGCTTTAGGTTATGTGCATGGTGCTAAAGTTGTTCACGCAAATGAGCCAGTCCATGGACGCCTAAGGTAAGCTTGGTGCTGAAGAGAAAGTTTCTTGGGTATTTTCTGTTCACTTACTTCGTGAACAACTTAATCCATTTGGAGTGTGAATTACAAAATAAAATATTATGATTGGAGCCTGCAGGTTTCTTGTTAATGATACGAATTGCTTTTGATTTTTAAATAATTGTTATCGGCTCTTTTAACTTTGGTCAATATGATTTGTTCATCCATGCACTTATTTCCCCCTCTAACTTTGCACAGTGAAATTGAGCACAATGGTTGTAGTCTTTTCAATGGCATACCATCTGGGAGAAATTCAGGGTTCAAGGTCCATTTTATTTTATGCTGTTATTTTTGTTGCTTCTTTTTATTTTTACAAAGTAATGTTATCTTCTGTTCATTATTGAGGCTCTTCATATGCCCCAAATAAATATTAGTCAGAATTTTCATCATTCTTCTATAGTAACCTGTACTTACTGACATTGACTACCATGGAAAGAATAAGTTGTTTTGGACTAAAGGACTAAAATAATATCACAGTAATATGTGTGGCTTACTTATTGCAGGTTGTAAGATATCATTCGCTTGTAATAGATCCCGAATCGCTTCCCAAGGAACTAATTCCAATATCATGGACGTGTTCCACAGATACCCAATCATTTCTTGAAATTAGCAATGCTTCCTCAATTTCAGATGCTCATGGCATAGTTTCTAGTGATTCTATGTCAGAAGTACAAAAATCTCTACGTGTTTGGCCTCTCAACAGCCATCAAAATATGCAAAATGGAAAAGTTCTCATGGCAGTTATGCACTCCGTCAGGCCTCATTATGGTGTACAGGTGGTGTATGGTTATTTTGTTTGTGATTAACAAGCTTTGAGTTATCATGCTTACATTACTTATGTTTCTACATGACCTCCAGTTTCATCCAGAGAGCATTGGGACCTGTTATGGCAGAGAGATATTTAAGAATTTTAGAGAAATCACCGAGGATCATTGGCTTAACTATGGACCATTAGTCACCTGCAAAGAAAATGTAGATTATTCTGGTAAAAGTTCTGTGGTTTCAAACTATTTTTGTGCAGACTTCCTTCACCCTACACTTGATACTTCCTCGTTGAACTGGATGACTTCGAGAATGAATGCTTTTAGTCTAGTGCAAATATTTCATTTCTGTCATTATTTTATACTGAGCCATCAAGTGTTTTTTAAGCTTGCATGTTGGGGTATTAACTTAACAAATATGTTTGCGGTTTCCCAGGAAATCAAATCAGGCTAAGGAAACCTGTCTCTCAATTAAATCATGGAACTTTTCCCAGTAGAAGTATTGGACATAATGGAGTTGGTAAAAAAGGTGTTGGCCTGTTTGATCTTGTGAATCTTTCATATCCCAGCAATGGAGTCAAATTTCTGAAGTTGGCTTGGAAGAAATATGATCATTTAGCTTCTGAAGTTGGTGGAGCTAGAAATATATTTTATCAATTGTTTGGACATCATAAAGCTGAAAACACGTTTTGGCTGGACAGTTCCTCGATTGAAAAGGTCTGGTCATCTCTTGAGTAACTTAATCATGTTTAGCATTATAGATTTATATATGACCCATGCATTCTTGATTCGCAATGGTAGGGTTCAAAGACTCTTTTGAATAATTTCTCAAAAATGCCAATCCTTCATTAGACTGCAGCACGGTGTAATATGATCGATCTCTTGTGCAATATAAGGGTGAAGTTTCATATCTGCAAGTTCTACACATATTTATTGGCTATTAAACGAAATGAATAATACGGATTATTTTTTGTGTGAGGAAAACTAATAATTACTTGGAGTCCTAATTATGAATATGAGGCACATATATATGTTAGGGAATCTAGCATTACAGTCTGTTTTTAAAGATAAATCTCGGAATAAGAGTAACAGTAGATGCGTTGTAAGTTATAACTTTTGTATTTATAAGTCCATCTTTCTTTTAGTTATTTTAACACCGGTGACGTCTTTTCTTTTTTAATACAATTATGTCTTTGTAACCTATAAATAAGCCATGCTTGGCTCATCATGGAGGATCAAATTCTCATCAATTTAAGACTTTACATCTGAAAAAGAACTATCAGTACTATTGTAAGACTTCAGCAAGCTCTCTCTATATTTAATCATTTATGCTTTCTACAGGTACACGTCCATTTAAAGATCATGCACCAAGATTGGTCCAACTGCTCATGTTATTATTATTATTTACTTTCGAATGAATAATTCATCAATGTCTGTTTTGACGCTGAATTTATATAGGGAAGAGCACGATTTTCATTTATGGGAGGAAAAGGTGGATCACTGTGGAAGCAAATGGTTTTCCAGTTATCAGATGAAAGGTTGGAGTTACAATCCTGCCCACTATTTCCTCTGGTTTTTAAGATTATGTTAGGATTTATTCGTTTGTTTACGTGATCCTTTAGTTTCTAGGTTATACCTAGTTAATCGTGTAATGCTCCAGAAGGGAACACGATACAACTTATCTATCTTTAATTGCTGGTTACGAAGTTAATTGCATTCTTTTTCAGTGGTCATCCTTTTGAAGGAGGAGGCTACCTGTCAATTGAAGATGCTCAAGGATCAGCAACCAAAACATTTTTGAATGATGGTTTCTTTGACTATCTAAACAAGGTACTTGAATATTTCTTGAATCGTACGATATTGAAGGATTTTGGTTTTGTTGTCTACAACCTGCACAAGAATTTGTAATCTGAAACTCAATGCTACTACTATTCAACATATGCTGTTACTGGATATCAGTCAGCAGTCAACGATCTAGGTTGGGGTCTAGAAATTAATCTTCTTGTTGCTCTTTTGGGATTCCAATTCTGCTCTTTTTTTAAGGACCTTCGAGTAACCATTGGTCTCAATTTGTTTGTGAGGACAAGATGCAACTTGTTCAATTACCTTCTTGTAAATGAACGTTTGTCATCATGATTATAACTTGGAAGTATTGTGCATCTTTTGTTGAATCTTTCTATCCATTTTAATAGTGATATGAACATATTAATCAATGTAATTGCTGAAACAAGTATTTTGATGCTTAATTTTTATAGGAGCTTTCATCTTTTCAATACAAAAGGGAAGACTATGACGAGCTTCCATTTGACTTTCATGGTGGATATGTTGGCTACTTCGGGTAAGTGATTACTATCAGTATAATATATTACATCGTTTTGCTCTCACTCGCCATGATGCAACTATGGAAGTTTCAGCTTCTTTACAGCTCAGTAAAGCTGTACTTCGAGGCTGTCTTTTTGGTCCTTTCACTATTTTGAGGGAGGTTTACTTTCACGGTTTAATTATTTAACTATATTCTGATGGGATAAATTGTCAAAGAGGATCTGATTGTTTTCTTCAAATAATAAGTTGGGGAGTTTTTTATTTTTTTTTAAGTATAATGTAACACTAAATGTACCATAACCCATCAACTTAATCTTTTGGGTTTAATAGGGATTCAACATGGTATCAAAATAGAAAATTCTATATTTGGACCCTTATAATTTCATTTCTTCTCCAATTAATATATATTTATAAGAAACACTGGTTTCATTGAGAAACATAAAAGAAAATAAAATAACAAATGGGCATACAAGAAAACAACAAGGGAGCCACAAACTAGCTATATAGGAAGGTGCTTCAATCCAAAACATTAAGGCTTAGCGAAACTTAAGCTTAAAAAGAGGTATTAAACCTCACTAAAGAACAAATCCTCACTAGATCTCTTCTCCCCTTTTTCGATCCAAATGCTTCAAAGGACTGCAAAACAAGTAGCTCTCCACCAAAATTGCCCTTAATCACAAAAGGATAAGAACAAAAGAACTAGACCTCATGAATGAAGGAAGCACTATCTCCACTATGAGGAGAGAACCCTCCAATTGCTTTAAAGAGTGATCCCACAATGAAGAAGATAAACTGGCATCTACAAAGAATATGATCAAGATCTTTAGTTGTGTGCCTCCCGATGATGCCACCAATATGGTCCCACCAAAAAAGACGAATGCCTCTAAATACGGGCAGTCATGTTAACCTTCCCGGGTAAAACATGCCCCACAAACAATATAGCATTCCTTGAGAAGTTTTACCTTTCTAAGTGAGAAATGATGAGGGGGCCTAAGGAGAAGAGGCATCACTCAAAGAAGGAAAAAAGATATACAAGAATAACCCTTCGAGCACTAGGAGCCCAAAACTGAAAATCCCTCCTTGAGATAATCGAGAAATCTCCCAATAACGATGGAAGAGACATAATGTCAAAGGTTGAACAAAACCTAAAGAAGGCGAAAAGGACAAACTTCCTAAAGAGGACGAACTTCCTAGAGACAAGATAGAGGCCAATAGAGGGCAAATGATACAAACGTGGGAAAAGAGAATACTAGGGGCTAGCACCTGGCGAATGATCCCCGCCATAACGAAAATTTTCCCATTCCCAACAGAATTTTCCACAGACTAGTAAAAGAAAGAAAAACCAACCCTAATCACTATTCCTCCGGTAAGGGCGTGTTTGGGAGTTTTTGAAATAGTTAAAATTAATCTTCTCTTTTAAAATCACTTGGAAACAAGTTTTTAATGATTTAAAGTCAATTTTGATGGTAGGAAAATCACGTTTTGAAAGTGTTAAATATTTTGAATACTTAGGAATGTTTCAAAGTGATTCTAAATGTGACAATTTTGCCCATTTTAAAACACTCCCAATCATGTCCTAATAACTTTATGTTGAAGGGCATTAGGCTCCAATGGGGGCTTCATTACCAAATCTAAGATTACTCATTACCCATCGCTAAACCTCTTTGTTCCACTAATTTAGACACAATCACCTAATTCACGAAATGAGACCCCCCATGCCGTTCCACATAAAATTTCACAAGGACTCTAAAAATGGAAGGAAGTTGATCTGAATCCCGCTCAGAACAGATGGGATAGTAGGGGTGGACAACAGAAGGCCAAAACGGACCTGATCGACCAAACTGGCATTGGTCGGTCATTTTGTGAAGAATTTGGTTAGTGCGGTTTTGCAATGCAAAACCAACTAGTGTGTTGGTCCGGAGTGGTCAGAGAGGAAGTTTCTGACCAACCGACTGATATTCATCCTTCAGTATTTAAAAAAAAAAAAAAATACTGTTGAGTGTTCGCTACAGTTTGTAGACTGCACACTGCACATTGTGGTGTGTACTCTTTTTTTTCTTTTTTTCAGGAAAACTAGTCATTAAATATTTTATTCTCTCTTTTCTCTTTCTCACTGTGCTTCAATCTTTAACCCTTCTCTCTTGTCCCTTCCTCTTTATATCTTTTTCTACCTAAACGTTCCTTTCTATCTCTCCTTTTTCCCATATCTTTTTTGCTATCTCTTTCTTTGTCGTCAAGGCTTGGCCATCTAGCGTCATGCAACAACATATCATCTCATTCTATCAACATCCTAAAGCCACCAAAACCGCGACCAACCGGTCGTGTATTCAGCCAATTGTTTTCATGAAGCATCCCAAAATCATCAACCAAAATCGATAAAACTGACCTTGACAGCTCGACAAATAGTCCTACTGGATAAAGAGTCAGCCTACCTCCCTTAGAGAAGAAGGATTTCTTTCAAAGAGACATTTCTATATCTTTTCCACACTAGGATTCCCATCAGACTTCCGGGGTTATGCCCTGAAGGGAGACCAAGATAGAAAGATGAAAACTACCCATTTTATAACCCAACAGCTAAACCCAATGAGACAGCTTGAATAACCAAGCATTTTCCTCCATTACTTTTTTAGACCCCACATAGCCTCAAAGAAGAATAAGAATCGATTAAGATTAACAAAAGATCTCTTCCTTACTAAAATAGAAAAAAAAATCGTGTAATCAGCGTACTAGATGTGAGAGAGGTATATACTATCGCTCCCTATTTGAAAGCCCTCTATTACACCTTCTTGATTTGCCGGTGAGGAAGGAACAATTGACAAATCTTATGCATGTCCAGATCCAAGCTCTCTATTTGTCACCAAACCCTTTCTTCCTGAGCTCTTTATCTAGGAAGTCCCAGTCTACATGATCATAGGCTTTCTAGATCTTGAAAATATCTTCTACCTACTTACAATTCGGAAGTCCTCAATAGCTTCATTGGCAATGTGGACTTGATCGAAAATCTATCTTCTTTCAACGAAAGCCACTTGAGAATCAGAAATTGTAGCAAGTAGTGCTTTCTTTAACCGATCAGCAAGGATCTTAGTCAGTAATCCCTCAATCAAAAAACTCCCTGAAGAACAAACTAGATCTCCTTAATTTGTTAGATGAGTCTCGTCTCAATCGCATCAACATATTAGATGGAAAAGAAAATTTTTCTTCTTTTTTAAAGAAACGTGGCACTGAACTCTACGAGATTAACTCTTGAGGATGGGGTTTTGGTTTTTGATGTTGTTTCTTTTCTCCTTGAAGTGCATTTGTCTTTGGCTGGGCTGAAGTGGTTATCTTTTGTTTTGCTTAGCTCCTCGGTTTTCAGTTTTTGGGCGCAGCTGCTGCTTTTTTGGCTTTCTCTGGCCCTGAGTTGTGGATTGTTTAGGCTTTTGGCTATTGCTCTCGTCTTTGGCTTCGTGGCTTTTGTGCTACTCCCTTTGCGTGTTGATGCTTTCTTCCATTTCTGGTGATTGTGTCACTCTCTTTTGAGTGTTGCAGCATCTAGAACGACAAACTTAACTCAAAATTGAAAGCCATGGCCGATACCCTAGAGGAAAAAATCCACATACAAAAAAATAAATAAATAAAATAAACAGCTCATTGCCCCCTTCTCGAACCCCGAGCTTTGGAGCACAGACATATTTGAAGCTTTAAACGTAATTTTCCACTGGTGTACCTCCCTGTCCTGTCATTTTCATTCTCTTTTAGACATAAAATGCTTGCCAACTCGCTGCATTTCCTTGCGGTGTGCAGCTCCAGTATCCCTATCTAAACCGAGTCCTTTCTTTATCTACTGGCGAAGGGCTCTCCTGTTGGTCAAAGAAATTGATCTCTGACACCCTCCGAAAACTGCCATAAACCCTGACTGAGCAACTACGGAATGTAATGACAATATGTCTGTGGAACTATTTTTTAGAAGTTATTTTCATTTTAGTATTCAGATGACCCAGATTAGAAAAATTATGAAGTTTCTTTCTGAAACAAATTTGGGCCTCTGAATAGTGATTTCAATTCGACTATAATTTGAACATTTTCAAACCACCTGACTATCGTTTTAAAACTACAAAGACTGTCTTACAAAGCAAGCTATAAGAGTTAAGAGTATGTTATAGGTGCTAGGTAACTTTATATATGGGTTTACGCATTTTGATGTGCTTTCAGATGTCCCTCTCGTAGCTTGTCATTCTAGATGCTGGAGTATATATGAACAATTAATATTGGAATGGTTACAAAACGAAAGATCTTCCACAATATTGGCAATGCTAATAAATAGATGACACTTTTCTAACATAACCCTCTATATTCTGTAGATATGAACTCAAAATAGAATGTGGTGCACCGTACAACCAACACAAGTCCAGAACTCCAGATGCGTGTTTTTTCTTCGCTGACAATCTTTTGGTCATTGATCACTCTTCGGATGATGTTTACTTGTTATCCATACATGAAGAATGTAATACTTCTACATCTTGGTTGGACGATGCTGAGCTCAAACTTATGGAATTGAGAACTTCTGTTCCAGAGAAGTTAATTGAAGAAAGTTCACTCAATGTGTCATTTACTCCGTGTAAGGTCGAGTTTGTTGCCGAGAAATCGATGGAGGAATACATGAGCGATGTCGAGAAGTGTAAGCAATACATCAAAGACGGCGAAAGCTACGAGCTGTGCCTCACAACCCAAATTAGGAAAAAAATTGAGGAAACTGATGCCCTGAGACTTTACCTCAGGCTCAGAGAAAGAAATCCGGCACCTTATGCTGCTTGGCTAAATTTTTCAAAAGAAGATATATGTATCTGCTGTTCATCACCTGAACGGTTCCTACAGTTGAATAGGGATGGTGTTCTGGAAGCGAAACCCATTAAAGGTACTACAAAGCGAGGAGTGACAACAGAGGAAGATGAACTGCTCAAAATGCAGTTGCAGTATAGGTATGTTCTTCAAATTTAGTGCTGAAAAACAATGCTAGTAATTGAAGTGCAATAGGGGCTTTCTTTGACAAGGTATTATCATTGGTAACCTCATTTTTGCTAACTATTAGATTGATTTCTCTTGATATAGTGAAAAGAACCAAGCGGAAAACTTAATGATCGTTGATCTTCTAAGGAACGACCTCGGTCGTGTATGTGAACCGGGTTCTGTTCATGTTCCACTTCTCATGGACATAGAATCATATGCAACTGTGCATACTATGGTGAGCACAGTTCGAGGCAAGAAACAGCCAAATGTAAGCGCCATTGACTGTATAAAAGCAGCATTTCCTGGTGGTTCAATGACAGGAGCACCAAAGTTGAGGTCCATGGAAATCCTCGACTCCCTCGAGAATTGTCCTCGAGGTATTTATTCGGGTTGTATTGGATATATCTCGTACAATCAGACATTTGATCTTAATATCGTGATAAGAACAGTTGTTTTACATCAAGGAGAAGCGTCCATTGGAGCTGGAGGAGCTATTATTGCCCTCTCAGATCCTAGTGATGAATATGAAGAAATGGTGTTGAAAACACATGCTCCCTCCAGGGTGGTTATGGAATTCTCTTAGAACTTTTACCTTGAACCTCATCAGATCTTAGCCTTCAGAAATCCCCATAGTTTCCTTTTCCCTCTTTTATTTGTATTTTAAAATATATGTCATAAAAAGATGTCTTGTATTACAGAATAGCAGAACGCATTCAGTTATATAAAAGTTTATTTTTGTTTATTTTTGTTGCATTCCTAAATGAGTTTATTCAGTGTTTTGATCAAAAGTCGTTCATTTGCATAAAATTTTGATTAGGTTTGTTCGTTTGTTATTTTGTTTAAATGTTTATATTTTTCTCTCGTATTTGATTTTCTCTGAGGCTAGGTTCTACTTTGTCTTCCTCTTTGCTTTTTCTTTGTTTTCCTCCATTTTTTATATACATTTGGGGCTCATTTGAATCAATCATTTAATTTCCAGTCTGATTTTGTTTTTTATTTTTATTTTTTAAATTTAAATTTTCTTCTTTTAATTTTTTTATTTATAAAATTTTGGTAAAATGAAGGAAATTAGAGGTAGACATAGATTTTATAAGAATAGTTAAAAGAAAAAAAAAATAAAATAAACTATATATTTTATCAAATGATCACACATTTACCATAGGTTTTGGAAAGTTCGAGGATGGGTCTACCCTATTTTTCGAGGAGCTCGAGTCCTTTCTTCTTAATAAAATACTTTCTAAATAAAACTAATATCATTCTCGTTCTTAACTAATATCAAAACGTAACTTGTCCTTGTACGGCCTACTATTAATTATTTAATTAGGATAACTAATTTTATATAGCTTTAATGTCTTTTTTCTATTACCCAAGTGAAAAAGTCCTCTGTTAAATTAAATTAAATTAAAATTAGTGTATTAATTTGTGAAAGAAATGATGTTTTGTTTGATGAGTAGGAGGGGGACAGGATATGAAGGTGATAAATTGGAGTCATAATTTGCAGAAGGGATAAGCTTCTTTAATCCTTACTCACACCCAATTATTTATAATTATTTTATTTTATTTTATTTTATTTTATTTTTTAATCAATTATTTGCCCTCCAAAAGCAAAACACCACTAAAATCACTTGCATTTGTGTGATTGAGGTTTATGTCTCGTTTACAAAGCTCAAAAAGAACCATGATTTTTCAATTGACAATAAGATTTGATTGTGATAATTAACAAAACTTAGGGTATTGTTTTGGAAGCTTATTATATAATTCATTTCATAAAGTAATATATTGATTTAACATCCAATTATTTGATCATTTGGTCTCTATCATCATTATTTTATTACGTAAAAGTATTAATTAATCAACCGTCAATTTGTTTCTTTTCTTCATAAAAATGCAAGTGGATTGAATAAATATATACTATAATTTTGTTCGTTTCGTGAGTCTTGTCATGAATTTAAGACCGCTATTATATATTCTTATTTATTTAGGTATTGTTGTTACTAATTATTTTTATTAAATTATTAATATCAATATAGTAATTATACTTAATGACCTTTAATTTGTACATATTTGTACCTTTAAAATTAGTATTTTATATTATATTAATGGTTTAATATGATTTTTATTATTAATTAATTTTTTCATAAACAAAATAATAAAACCCACAGTATTTATTTTTGAACCGATAAAATCTTTGATTTAAAATTTACATGAATGAACCGAAATTATATTCAAATGAGATGAATCTTAAGAATAGAATAGCTAAGAAAGACTTAAAAGAATTTAAAGCCATTGTATGTACCAATGAGGTACACCTTTGTTCAATAACTCAATTATAGGAACTTTATGGTTAAACATGCTTTTACTTCCAGCAATTTTATGTTTAGTGACTTCTTGAAATTTTTTATAACATGCATATGAGTGAAAACAAAATATGCTGAAATTACTATGTTGGTATGTAGAGATGCGCGGAGAAGTGTTGAATTTTAATGCTTTTTTTACGTTTTATTTATTTATAATTTGGCTCATAAGTAATTTCCTAATTTATTATAAGAATATAGTAATTTCCTCTTATTTTATTTTTTAAATTAACCAAATCAAGCTAAATACAAAAATAATTTTTTTTTAAAAAAAATATAATATCCAAATGATTGCAGGTGGTGTGAATCAAAAGCACAGTAAACGTCAAATTTGAGGGTGAAAGCACCTTCTTTAACTCTCTTTTTCAATCGCTTTTGGTGAATAGATTGAAAGAAATTGACCATTCAGGCGCAAAATTTGAAATATAATTAACTGAGAACAGTAAAAAGACGGTACGGGATTTAATTACTACAGTAATTTTGGTCTCCGGTAGTGGTTGCTGGGTTGGGACTTCGGTCCGTGATTTACCTTTTAAAAAAAGCCCATTTATGCGGATTAATTTCCGCTTAATTTGGGATTTGTTACAGCTATTGCCTTCTAATTAGGCTGGAGGAAAATTTAGTAAATTCCATAATTTCTATTTCTAGAATAATTTAAATTGGACTAAAATAGTCATTTTCTCCGTACATTAATTCATTGACGGTGACATACATAAATGAATAGAAATTATATTAAGAGAGTGATCACCAGTATAGGATGGTTAGAAAAGACTTGAAATAGTAGAAGTTTGTACTTGTATAAGAGCTCGACATTGGACTGTGTGTCAAAGGACGCTAAGCTCCTAAGGTGGGGTGGACACTAAGAGTGTGTCAATGAGAACGTCGAGCCCATAAGAAAGTGGAGTATGAGATCCCAATCGATTGGAGGGAGGAACAAGTGACAGCGAGGACCGTAGGGGCTGTGAAGGGGGATGAATTGTGAGATCTCACATCGGTAGGAGAGAGAAACGAAGTATTCTAGCATGTGTAAACTTATCCCTAGCAGACTGCGTTTTAAAAACTTAGGGTAATGACGATGTGTAACTAGCAAAAGTTAACAATATCTGTTAACGGTATGTTTGAGTTATTAAACTACTTTTACAAACAAATTGCACCTTCCTTTTTGGATGGTTCAATCAGAGGTAGTTACACTAGTTATACCAACCTCCACATCCTCACTACACACTTTTTTTTTTTTTTTTTTTTTTTTTTTTTTTTTTTTTTTTTTTTTGATGATTTTTATGGTTTNTTGAAGAAGAAGAATCCATGGAGTTTGCTTTTTATACAGAGATTTCATGCGCATCAAAATATGAGAGTGAAAGATAACTCTAATTCCCCACAAAGGCCTTAGCAACAACAAGACCCTTGACTTTATATTCCGTAATAATGAAGTGGAAAGAAAACAAATAAAGAAGAGATTCATAAAACCAATACAATCTCTTCCTTTTCAAAAAGCCAAGCTCATGCGCACAGTACCATGCCAATACCCTAAAACAATTTCCCACCTTACCAACCAAACCCACCCCCACCAACTTTCCACGCATTACTACTCCGATGTAATTTCTATATTTTGGGATTTGTCGTTACTATATCGTTGTATCAACTTGAATATAGCTCAACTGAGTGCACAGAGCCCCCTACCCAAGGTTATATATGCTAAGCCGTTGTTATCTCTCTCTTGCTTGCTTATATAACGTCTCTTCTAAAAATCTCTCTTTCTAAAATCTCTCTCTACCCTCGTTTTCTAAAACCTTCTTTCAAAACCGAGGCTAGAGGCTCGATCATACGTCGCTTGGCCGTAGGCGACGCAAGAACAAATTGGCTTAGCTCACTTGTCGTTGGAAAGTGAGTGCCGCACAATCGCTAGTCCGCTGCCTTTAAAAGTGCGATTGTGTCACACAACTTCCCTGTCAAAATCGAAAAAAATTCCACACCCTACCAACCAAACCCATCTATTTCCCTTTACATATTTGTAACAACTCAAACTCGATGTTGTCCTCTTTGGGGTTTCTCTCAATGATGTAAAACATGTTGCTAATGAAAAGGTTTCCACACCCTTACAAAGGGTGTTTCTTCGTTCTCCTCCTCAACCAATGTGGGATATCACAATCCACCCCCTTCGAGGCTAGAGTCATCGCTAACACTCGTTCCTTTCTCCAATAGATGTGGGTACTCATCAAATCCACTCCCTTCGAAGAACAGCTTCCTTGTTAGCACATAGTCTGGTGTCTGACTATGATACCATTGATAACAGCACTACCACTAGCATATATTGTTATTTTTGAGTTTTCACTTTCATGCTTCCCACATCCTTATGGTGTTTAGTTCTCATTCTCAACCAATGTGAGATGTCACAATATCGCATTAGTACATAATCATTTCTTCGGCTATTAGAAAACTTACTTTTTATATTAAGCCAGTTTTGTTGGACGAACGTGAATACAACTCAATTAGTAAAGTTATACCTAGAGATTAACGCTCGTAAAAATTCCCCACATCAATCAAGTAGAGCATTCCATCAAAGATCCAATCAGAAAATATGAATGATCTTAAATAAAAACATCTGATATAAATGATCTCCAATGTCCAAAGAAACTCAGACACCAAATTCTCTGGGAACCATTTACTAATTACAAAGATATACAAATTTAAAAAGGGAAAAATAAAACAGGAGAGAGAGAGAGAGAGAGAGAGAGAGAGAGAGAGTTCATTAAAGAAAAATTTAACAATCAAATAAGAAAATAAAAAAAGAAAAAGAAAAATCTAATTTTGTGTCTCATTAAGGAATGGGCTCCACAAGTCTTATAAATAAAATAAATAAATAAAAACTTGCCACTTTAATTTTGAGGCCTTAATCCAAACGCCATTCTTGAGGAAACTGTCGGTCGCTGAAACAAATAAATACCGAAAGAGACTGAAAATCAAAAATCAAAAAAGGAATTTGGCTTAGAATTTTCTCAAATATTTTAAAAAATAATAACACGAAATTCAAATGAGGGACTCTGAAATATTTTGTTTTGAGTTGCAAAACAGGTTTGAGATCTGAATATTTTTTTGGTTGTTTTAGAAGGTTGGCCATTGTAGAACAAAGGGTGGAGTGGACACCACACTGCCTTGCCTTAGGCAGGCAAACTATCCCACTAAGATTTTTTCACCCTTTTCTGACCATTTTGTCCCTCTCCTTTTCCTTCAATTCCACATACAAATTTTATAATATTAATAATAATAATATTAATACTCTCTCTTCTTTCTGTGACATGTCGTCTCATTTTCCCTGCACGTAATAAACAATCACTAATTAGCCCTTAATCACAATAATTACCCTCTTAATCACATTCTAATTTAACTA